AAAAAAATACGCTTTCAGATTACCTGGAGACTCGACCCAGCAATTCCACCTGATCCCGGTTTAGCCCCCTTGAGCAATGCTCACTATTCACACACACACACACACACACACACACACACACACACACACACACACCCTGATTTAACATCACACTCTGGAGCAAACAATGTCTGCAGCCGTGCATTTTCTCTGTTAATGGTAAGCGTGTGTGTGTGTGTGCGTGCGTGCATCAGCTGTAGTAAAAAAAAACTGTACATGTACACATTCTATTTGTTTTTCAAAAGCACGTTCCCTCATGTTGCAAATATAAACTGAGGTACTAAATCAAGTTATAAGTAGGCAAATTGTTCCATAGACTTCTATTTGTGTGTGTTTTGCAAGTAATTGTATTTAAAAAGCACTTTTACCCTAAAAAATCATGTCAGAAAGAGACACGTTTTCTTATAGACTTCTATGGAAACAAACATATTTTTTTATACTAGAATGCATCTTTCTTCACTTTCCAGAACTGTTGTTGCAGTCTCCTTAAATCAATTATGTTATTTGTTATGCTGTTTTGAACTCCAAGGGAAACAGCAGTGATATATTGTGTGTGTGTGTGTGTGTGTGTGTGTGAGTGTGTGTGTGTGTGTGTGTGTGTGTGTGTGTGTGTGTGTGTACCTGGCCCATAGGCACGGGCCTTCTTGGGGTTGAGTTTGGGCCGCAGAGGAGCGCCAGGCTTCAGTTTAGCCTTGGGGAACTGGGACAGGTAGGTCATGACGGAGTGTTCGTCCACATTGGGGTCAACAATCTCTTCAGGGGTGATCACCTAAGAGGAGAATACAAGGAGACAAATGTTTTTTTTTTAAATGGCTATGTTTCCATGGTATCATATAGAGTGGTGCAAGAATAAGTCCTAAAACCTGGAAATTGTGAGTATTTTAGCACTTCCACTTCCCTCTTCTTTTTTGGTTAGATCTGAAATAAGGTCTCTGGTTAAAAAAAAAAGTGGGGAGATGTTCACGTTTTGTTCTACTACATTAAAATATGTCAGTAAATAACCCACTGGTCAATGTCCAAAGCTTATATGTGTGTTATAAACGACAGTTGCTTACAGGTGACTAAATTAGCCGCATTTAGCTTAGCAGTGTTGATGTGACCGTGTTTTAAGTCTGATGTTTGCATTTAAGGTTTAAAATTCACAAAGTTGTGTCAGTATGTTGAGATGATACTGTATTATGTGTTTGAAAAATATCTTATTTTCTGAAATTACCAAAATCCAATGGAAAAATGCCATTGTCCAGTGAGCCGTTGCTATGCCAATTTCTAGGTGGACTTACAATTCTTAATCACTGCACGGCTCTGTTTGCTGATTGAAGATGCTATGTTTGATTAGTTGCCATGGAGATCATACCCACATATATCAAATGAGTAGTATCGTGATTTTTTTTCCCCAACCACATGCCAACCTCTTCCTCTGCTCAGAAAGTACCTGATACGCTCTCACACGCAGAGGCAGACACACATTGTCTGATTCAACTAGCCACAGAGAAAGTGTGCGAGCAGACCCAGAGCTGAAGGCGGAAACAGCAGCGACCACAGAGTCAACTGTCAGCACGCGATGCTGTGCCAACCATGCCAACACTCTGCCAGACGCTCAGCAGAGACCCGGAGCCAGAGCTGGGGAAGTCTTCTCAAAATCTGTCAGAATCTAACAACTAAATTCACATTTTCATTCTGTTCAAAAACCTAACCAGATGAAATGTTAGAGTTAGATTCTGTCCATTCCCTACAGGATGCCCAAGTGAGCGCACCACCAGACTGCACAGTGTTGCAGTATATTAATAAGGGTCTGTCCCGGGCAGGAGACCATTTCTATCTTCTAAAATAAAACCTACTTCTCACACCAGTTCTGTAGTATTATGAATAGGCTGACACTTGAAAAACAAGTCATTATTATGATATCTATACGTTTCTTATATCTATAGTTGAATACTAACCAGAGCACCAAATGGGTAATGACAGTCCCCAACAAAACATTATGTCCTCCTGCTTTTATTTGCAAAAAAGCTATGCATGTCCAGATCTGATGGTCTTGAGTCTTAAATTGACCACAATGTTGTCAACATATGTATGGAACCATAAAATGTAAGTTTTAGGCCAATTTATTTTTGCTGAACTATTTGGCATAATCAAAAGACTTAAGGCCGTGGTTCAAATGGTCACGTTATAAACCTAAATTAGTGATAACAATGGGAAACATGATCTTCTATAAAGAACACATATAATAGCTTTTCTTATGAAGTGTAATGGTGTATCTGACCTGAGGGATGCCCAGCCAGTCGTCAGCCTGCTGCATGGCCTCTCGAGCGTTGTCCACTGGTTTAGTCTGATCCCACTGATCCCAGTCAGGACACAGACCTGCAGGAGGAGAGACGAGAGAGGGATTTACAGGAGGCAGCACGGAAAAACACAACATGACAATAACATCAGATTCAGCACGCCTTCATAAGATTGTGATGAACCAGACATGCCTATATCTAATCAGGTCTGTATACAAAGAGTTGAATTCAGTTGTATTTGATCTGAGAATATGTAGGAATAAAGGCTGAGGGAAATGCTTTGTGTTAAGAGTTATGCTCTAGGCTTATGTCATATTTATTTATTTTAACTTTTTTTGCTTTATGCACAAGTCAATTGATGTTTTATTGGGAATAGCCTTCTTTTCAATCTATAGTATCAAAGTACTGTTCAATCTACATGCCTGATTATGTCATTATTTCTGTAGCCCTCCTTTCAATAGTTTAAGCACAACAATAAACACAGCTAATATTTGACCTAAATTCCTCTAATGTGTCCGGAACATTCAAATCTCTCCGGACACAAAAGAACAGAAAGGCTGATACATAAAAATAAAAAAAACTGTATTTAAATGTGTTTTTATAAGATTAGAACATGGTTAAACACAACAAACATTACAGTCTCCATGTTTGATGATTTGCCTTAGCAACATAAGTATCGTTGTATAACATGTCTTACAATTGGGCAGCAGAAGAAAGGAGACGCCTCTCTTTCAACTCCACACTTGTTGTTGCATATCAGAGAGAGAATTGCTTCCACTCTAAAACAGTGGAGCAGTATTTCTGAAGGATTAAGGGACATTTAGGTACACAAAGAAAGAGAACTGTTTCTGATACAGCCAATGTCTCTAATTATGGCAGACATGTTGGCTCCAGCCTTGAGGCCACAGAGAGGATGCACTTCTAATCTTCATTTGAAGGAGAGTCTGCAGTTCTGCGGCTCATCAAGCGGTCTGCCCTTGCATTCCTTCATTGGATGTCATGATGTTCCTTTATTATCAGAAATGCATATCCTTGCTAACCGTGTCAGCAGTAGCTTCTTGATATATCTGACTGAGGGTTGTTGCTTAAGGACACTGTTGGATATCTCCTGCTGCATCCTTTGTTGAATCCTTATCTCCGGCTGGAGGCTGTTGGTGATCCACAGGTATGCCAAACATCCCGAGCATGTGAACAGAATCATTTTTACCACTTTCCCTCACCCACACCCCCCCCCCCTCAGGGCCAGCTGCCTGCCCTCAGTGTTTAGTCGCACAGATGGGAATTACGCACTAATGCTTTCTGTGACCTGACCTCAGGTCTGCTGCAGTCGGCACCATGGTGTGCAGACAGTTATGGTTCTTACAGACATAACATACAGGAAGCAACATGTTTTTTAATTCCATGTAAAACTGAGGTGCCAGTGTCTGGTTGCAAACAAAACACTGAGGCTAAAGTTGTCCTTACTTTGAAGCTACGGTTGCTTTAGAGTTGGCTCCAATGAGCCCAGAGATTACTCTAGGATGTAGAGGAAAACTATTTTATCTACTTTTCTAATTGGTTATTTGATTATTTGTGGGGTTTCTTTTCTCCTTTTCCCCCCAAAGGTTAGAACTCTACTATAGCCAATGAGCAGACAGGGCGCCCAACCCTTTTTTCTGTTTCTATTTAAGTATTCCCTTAGGGCTCGCTAGAAGTTATTTAGTAACCATTGCACACCCATACTGGTCTCTTAACAGTGAAAGGAATTGGGGAACATTAATTCATGGTGAATGGAGGGGAGGAGGAGACACTAAAATACTTTTTCCTATTCATTTACATCAGAAAGAGAAGTCTGTAAATGAGCCAATAATATTTTCAGAGGTAAATCAACTAGCCAGTACAGACATGTGAATAGCACTCATTCAAATCATTCAGGCCTAAAAGTTATTAAATGCGTTAAAAGCAAAATCTGCTGGACGAATCAATGTTGAGACACAGAAAGATGCTCCCCCTCACACACGCTCCCACTCAGACACACACTTTCCCTTACCTGGAGCACAGCTGTCGACCAGGGCTCCCAGAGCCCGGCCGGTCTGCCAGTCCCTGTGGAAGTTGGTGATAGGAAGCTCTGGCAGTTTGTTCTGGATCCATCCCAGCAACCTCTGCTTGGGCGTCTTCTGCTTGGCATCTCCCTCCTCTTCCTCATCCCACATGGGCATGGAGATGGAGTAGTGCAAGATCAGGGTCCAGATCAGACCCAGGATCAGCTTCAGGTTCCCATCCACGATGGCTTTAGAGTCTGCAGGAGGAAGAGAGAGGGGCACATTTGAAGTTTGCATGCTTAAAGATTCACACCAACGGGAAAACCGATCGTAGAAGACAAACCTGGTTTTTCAAAAGTGTTTCAATAAAACAAGAAACTGGCGCACCACAGGATGAAAGTCATTTAAAATGTTCTAAAAATGATTTGGGGGTGCAGCCGTCCTTCAAAATAGAGGAAACTGTATAAGAAACTAGGAAGGACTACTTTTTTCAATCATTGCTCTTCTATTTAGACTTCAGAAGAGAGAATCTGTAATTATATGGGATTTAAATTCCAAATCCCCCAAGGAGCATCGCTGTTATCTGCTATGGCTGAAAGGAGGAGTGGCTGGATGCATGCCTAGAAATCATGGTCTGGTCAGAGATATAAGCCATTATACCTCTTTGTGCATGCTTGTATCTAGCTTCAGAGAAAGCACAGCACTGAGCCCGCACTGATAGACCACATTCATCTGAATACCTCAGATGCAGGTATAATATGGGTTTTGGTGCTGCCTGATTATGTTGTCCATTCCCCAGCTGGTTTACATCACATCAAAATCCCCTTCCTCCCCAAAATAACTTTGTATACACATGAAAGCATGCTAGAAACAGGCGATGTATTCCTTTTTCATTGTCAGCTGATGAGTATGACTTTTTCATTTATATCTGGCATCTTTCAATACTATCACCTGAAATCAGTTACAATGGTTACTTCTATTTGATATCAGTGACTCCCAAACCAGAGTTATTGATTGTTGGAAAAATAGAACAACTTTTATGAGTTCTATTTTGTTTCTGTCCGATATATAGCGTGACTTCTTCAGAGACCTTTTTCTGCAATGGTTTGCACGCTACATGGAGTCCAACAGGGCTCCATTCTTGGTCCACTACAATCCAGCCTTATTCACTCATCTCATCAGCCAAAAGGTCTTGGTCATTGTAATTGTCACAAACAAGGAAGAGCTTCAAGCTCTCAATATGTGACAGCTGTCTATATTGCAAAAGAACAACAACCAGCACATCTACTGACATGTTGGGGGGTTCTAACATTTCAGGCATTTGTCTGTGTTGTTCAGACAGAGCCACGCGCTCAGCTGCAAGCAGAGGTGGTGAGGCAACCAGAAGCTAGTTCTCACACGAGGAAGAAAACCACATACACACACAGCGGCAACAGAAACACTGCACCCTGCACACACGTTGCACAAGAGGAGCAGCTGATGAAGAGGTCTGATTGCTCAGGTCCAGCCGTGAGGAGAGGGTTGAGCGATGCGTTTTTGTGTCTTAGCTGATGATAGGAACACAGTCATGGAGGAACATTCTGGTTCTTGTAAGGGTTGAAAGGCTATTATGAGTGTACAAACAATTTTGCTTTCTGCAGGGGTATCTACAAATGTTTACTTTTAGGTCTGTTAAAAGGAATGAATCCCCTTTGTGACAGCAGCTGTGTCCAGTTGGCAGTTTCTCTCGGATTTTAGATTCTTCAACACAGATAAAAGTGGAAAGAAAGCATGCAAACATCATAACAAACACCGTTGGACAGTCTTTACTCATTTCAGTGCTGCTGACATTGTTGTAAACTTTTTTTGTTGTTTAGACTGGAATAATTGTCGCTATAGCAGAGTTTCATCTTCAGCAAATAAAGTCCTGAATTTATTTGTCTAAGTTGTTTTTGAATAGCATTGTTTGGGACTGCAGTGGGGGGTTGCGGATTTGGTCAAAGGCCTGTAAGGCCTGCAGTAGGAGTGTCTGAAAACTGTTGAAAGAAGGCCCAAGCCAAAAGGATTCTAAAGCCAATCAAAAGCACAGTTCTACTTCAAATGACATCAAATAACAGGAGTTCTTTGCCTGCATGCAGAACTACAACATCTCAGAGTGCTGCTGTCTGAGTTCATGTTCCAACAGAGAGATGTGCTCGCAAGCTGCCAACCCCCCGATACATGACATGTCAGCTGCTACCAGTGAAAAAATATGCTCATCACAAAGAGGGACTTTGAGTGAGCTGGATTGTAATAGCAGAGCAGAGGAAGAGGCAAACCAAGACGCACAAGACAAGAAAGAGGGAACAAGAGATATACATGTAGCAGAGAATTGCCTTCAAAGATGATTGGTTATAGCATGCCACATTGTTACATTCCAGCCTCGGGACCCATGTTGCGTCCTTTTCCCCCTCTCCACAACGTTTCCACAAACACAAACTTTAAAAAACATAGTTGCCTAAGGACAGAAAACTGTCAGCTATAATTGTCGATTGTACTGTTAGCCAAGTCAGAATTATTTATTTAACACAATATTGCAATATCTCTTTTCCCTGAAGGGGCTTCAGATGATAGAAGATGAGCTCGGTGCACCACAGGCTGGTACTTGCAGCAGGAATGTAGCTCCGTACAGAAGAGGTGTGTCACACAGCGTGCCGTCAGCCACCTCAAGCACAAAGTCAAGCAGTGTTTACCTAGTGATATGTTGATTTATATCACTTCCATGATTCTGTTCTGTAGAAATTCATAAGTAGCGATGAACTGACATAAGTTTCCCTTTTCAGCAGGAAACGGGAAGTAACCGGATAGATTTACTCAAGTACTGTATTTTGAGATACTCGTACTTTACTTGAATATGTGTTTCTACTTGAATACATTTCAAAGGTAAATGGTTTACTTTTACTTATTTATTCAATACCTTCAGTTACTTTACAGATGTGGATGAATGATGTGAAATATAATCAAGTGTTAAATCAGACTTTAGTTCCACCTGGAGTAAATTCACAAGCTACCCTGCAGTATACAAAGTCATTCAAACTAGCTGCACCTTTACCAGCTTTGAGAACACTTTAATTATCAATCATTATAAAACATATCATATATATTATTCTGAAATGGACCAATCTGCACAATGACTACCTTTCCTTTTGGTACTTAAAGTATATGTTGATGCTAATACTTTACTTGAGTAATATTTTGACTTTTACTGTAACAGAGTATTCCTACACTCTGGTACTTCTACTTTTTTACTCAAGAAGAAGATCTCAGTACTTCCACTTTTACTCAAGTACCAGATCTGAGTACTTCTACTTTTACTCAAGTACAAGACCTGAGTGCTTCTCCTGCCTCTGCTTTTCAGGGTTTCCATCTGTGCTGACATTTTCACATGAAGAATGACAAACTCTAAACCGATTATCCTTATTGTTGTTTATAATATTGTTCTTGTAATCTTTGCAGCTCTTTACAGGGCATCATGTAAGGGAAGAGCAGCAGTGTGTCCTCCTGCCGGGCATTGTTAGGACATCAGTTCCCTTTGCTCTGTGATGAGGTGTGTATATGTGTGTGTTGCTCTTTGATTCATGCCTCTCACACACAAAGCCACTAAACATGCAAGGAATCTGCCAGCATTCCCGGCAGACCACAGCCAGCAGGCCTGATGGAGCCCATATACGGACACAGTCTGCCACAGATCAGACTCCCCCTCTGCTGACTCATAACCCCCACCTCCTTGTGTGTGTGTGTGTGTGTGTGTGTGTGTGTGTGTGTGTGTGTGTGTGTGTGTGTGTGTGTGTGTGTGTGTGTGTGTGTGTGAGAGAGAGATGTAGAGGCAACAGAAGCTACCGTATGGAGAATGTGCGTGTCTGCTGTTGATGCTCCATCTGCCCCAAAAACTCCCATGACTCATCCATTTGGCTCGTTGCCGCAGACCCCCCCCCCACCTAGCCCCAGTGCCATGGCTCTGACAACATAGCAACCCCTGACCCACAGCCTGACCCGATCCCAGCGTCTCAGGGAGGGAGAGGGGGGAGCAGAGAGGAACGTTTGGACATCTGGAGCACATGAGAGACGTAAAGGGACAGAACAGAAAGCCAGGTCCAGTCGTGTGGTCTCTCCATTCCCTCTCCACCGCTCAGAGTATCCTCATATTTATTATTTGTATCATATATAATAGAAGAATATTAGAAACAATCGCATGATATATGACCATATGTGTGTGCCTACATGATTACTACTACTACTACTACTACACAGATATTACATTATTAGCGCCTATGGGGTTATTATGGGCTCGGCGTGTTTTTCTTTGTCAGCAGGACTCCGGTACCACTGGAGCGATTTCCATAAAACTTGGTATGTAGCTTTGGCTAAGGAAGAACCCATTCAAATCTACATTGCGAGATACGTGCTTCATTCATGTGGTGCTGCAATAAGCACAACACTTTGTTTCTGACAGGGAGGATTCACAGAACCAGCTATCAACGTGTTGTTTAAAAGCTCAGAGGTTTCATAAACTCATCTCATCAAAGTCGTTAGACTTCCAAACTTGGGAAAGTGGAACATCCAAGAAGCACCTGAATGCAGCATTGTCCTTAGGAGAGTTGGGATATGTGTTCTAATACAAATGTGTTACTGTATCCTGTATTATATTTCATGACTGGCATTTTAAAAAGTGGCAAGTATAGTACGTGATTATTGCTCACATTTTCCTTTCAGTAACCGGAAATCTTATATATCCCGCTAGGTCTTGGATTACACTGTAAACATTTTGAATGAATAAAACTGTGCTGAGCTAAACAGGGATTGTGATAAAAGAGGTAGTGACACACATTTCACATGAAACTTTACGAAGTAAAACACCAAAAAGTTTGCTTTACAACTGTATGAATTCAGCTTGTAGCTTCAAACATCCAAAAGCTTGTATGACCTGGAGTTCTCTCTTTCTCTTTCCCTCACCCTCCCTCCTCCCTCCCTCCATGCAACAAGCCACACAAGAGCTACTACACTTCCTCCACTTCCTTTCTATTCCTTCAAGTCTTCCTCCCTCCCTCCCTCCCTCCTCTTCTCTTCACTCCCTCCTCTGGAAAAAGTTCCTCCTGATTTTTTAGCCTTAAAAGGGCAGAAGCAAACTGGATCCTGGCAGCCCTCCCATTCCCTGGGCTCTGGTTACAGACGAAGGGGAGGGGAGGGGAGAGGGCCGAGATAGAAAAGAGGAAATCAAGGCAGGGAAAAGTGCTGTGTGGGACATTTTTAAAGCCCACACTGACAAAAGCTCCCGCTGA